TATCATTAACTGTACCAACTCTACCTAACTGTACCATTGTATCATTACACCTAATTGAAAAAACGTAGTCGTGTTCGAAAAGGTCACATCATAGAAGCTAAGATCAATTAGGTGTATATTATATTTACCACCATGATGGTGAGTTCATGGTTCATAAGAATAGCCGCTGTCAAAACTGACAACGAAAGAAATCAATTGTTCTCAACAGGACGAGGAAAGAGACCATTACGGCGATCACTGAGTTTTCAAAAGTGCACCATGGACCATGAATTTCAACTTAAACTTGATGCAAGAATAGAATCCAATGTACAAGAAAAACTATCACCACCCCCATCGTCAAATGCAGCTGGTTTACAAAGACCACTGTCACCACCCCCCTCATCAAATGCAGCTGGTTTACAGAGACCACTGTCACCACCCCCCTCATCAAATGCAGCTAGTATGCAAAGACCACATTCGCCACCCCCTTTATCAAGTGAAACAGGTATACAAAGACCACTGTCACCACCCCCCTCATCAAATGCAGGTAGTATGCAAAGGCCAACTTCACCATCCAACTCGACAAGTGCAGTGGATGTGCAAAAACACCCTTCATCACCCCCTTTATCAAATGTAGATGGTATACAAAGACCACTGTCACCAACTCCCCTATCAAATGTAGCTGGTATGTTACGACCACTGTCACCGCTCCCCTCTTCAAATATAGAATACCTACTGTCATCACCCCCCTTATCAAGTACAGGTGCAGTTCCATCATCACCCTTGTCATCAGCCACAGAGAAGACAGATCTACAGCCATGTACACCAGAACGACCTACTTCACCTTCACATTTCTTTGCAGCAAAGACAAAGCTAAAGAATATAAAACAACACAGTGAAGACTCTGAGCATTCTGGGGGGGTAAGCATGCTAACATTATGACGTCATAACAATATGATGAACATCCTGTGAAATGATTTGTTCACAGTCCAGTGTTTAACTGTCAGTATAACTATTTTAAAGGCTGGTCAGCGCAGTATATCAGAGTATGAAGACAGTTCATATATGAGTGGGGGCTCACACATCACCCATGATGAAGACCCTATCATTGACGCACTCAAGTCAATTGTCTTGCTATCTGGGAATCCTGAATGTCACGAGAGTTTATTGGCCTACCTGTGTCTTCCTAGATCATCCTTACAGCTGATTGGCTTGGCACACATGCCATCAGCCATGATAGCTGATGATGTAGCTGTCTTGATTGGGAATCTGTTCAATGTGAGTTAAAAAACTGTTAATTGAAGGGCCGGCTACGAAAATGGCCAAAGTGACTTTTTAGGGTATTTTTGAAATTCTCGATAAATTTAAAAAAAAAACACTTCTGCAATCGACTTCAATCACTAATTTTCAGTATAAATACTCTTATTTAGCACTTATTTGTCCTGATTTCTTTTTAAAAAGAGTAAAAAAAGACCCATAGTTACGGACTTCTTTGGCTTGACAACTGATCGCTAGACCTCATGACTTTGACAGTTGGTTTGTCGGTTTGTTTTGATTCGAAGCTGTGCTGCAAGAAGTCTAGAAATGCGTTGTTTCGCGGTTTTTTCAGCCTTTTTGCCTTTAGTCACTACTCTACGGACATCATTAAGTTTGTAGGTAGCGAAGGAGCTTACTTGCTGAAAGAATCCGGCTTGGTGTGTGACTTTTTAAGCGATTTTGATTCCGCGGTTGATTCGATTAACTTGACAGTCGCTTGAAGAGAATCACTTAAAAGACCGTCTAAAGGCAAATCCTTGGAGCTGCCACAGTAATTTTTCTCCCAGAATTCATTGCGCTCCAAAATCCGGTTAAAACACGTGTTCTGAATCAGTGTCCAAAGAAAAAGCCGTAGCATGAGATGTTTATGGAAAATTTGAAAAATAAAACGCTTAAAATGACAGAAGTAGGACTAAAATTGGGTAAAAACAGTAATTCTCTTGTTAAAATCTAGAATTATGTATGAAAAATTACAAGAAAAAACTGGTATTTTCACTGTTAGTTTGTGGTAAATTACTGTAGCTACGAAACTGCATGGTTTCGTTCTGGTGACTTCATCTTTCATCTTCCCCTTTAATTTCAAATTAAGTATTTTATGCATGTTATCTACATCATTTTGCGCACAGYGTAGACGATCAGCAGTGCAGACTTTGAGAGGGGGGTGTTTCTTTAGAAACATGGACAAAAACTAGCCCAAAAACTAACCCTAACCCTAACCCTAAAACCTAACCCTTCCATCATATTCTAACCCTAAGCCTAACCCCAAATCCGGAACCCTAATCGTTGCCCTAGGTTACAGAAACCCCAAGTATTGCCGAAGACTAGCCCTAAGCCTAACCTCAGCTACGGGGAGGGGAGGGGAGGGGAGGGGAGGGTGCAGTCCGTAATTTTAATAAGCCGTTTTGTTTTCCTTTTTCGGAGGAAATAACGATAAAGAAGTAGCAAACATGATAATTTACACTAAAAATACTCGATTGAAGTGATTTTTTTTCAATTTATCGAGAATTTCAAAAATACCCTAAAAAATCACTTTGGCCATTTTCGTAGCCGGCCCTTCAATTGTTCCTTAGCATAATTATTTAATTGAATGTGCTTTGGTGCGTAATATCATGTTTCTAACAACTATTTCTGTCTTCATGAGTTGTTTTTATTGCTCCATTTATTTTCCCTTAGTTTCTTTTCATAATTTAGTTTTTTTTTATATTTTCAGCTGGAAGGTCCAGAAAGTAGAAAAAGATCTGTAGAAGCAGGGCTTATTAAAACAGTCTTAAAACTTGTTGATGGAGTTGAACCCATACAAGTAAGACATTGAATTGTTGGAACCTGTGTTACTGCATGTTGCCTTGAATTTTTGACAGAGCATTAGAAGTCTGCTCCTTCAAACACAATACCTTGATATGTTTGCTCATATTTTTGGTTATTTGCACACACTAGATTAATTGAAGCAATATAACAAAGCCTGTTAGCGAAGTCTCTGAAGTCATTATTGAGGTCTTTTAATCAGCTTCCTTCAATTTTGTTCAAAGAGAGACATTTTTACATATTTTCTACACTGTAATTCTACTGTAAGAAACTTTTTTGGCTTCAATCAATCAACCATTACACAACTGTAAGTCATTTTACTTTGAATCCCTACACTTCCAAAACAGGATTATTACCACTCTGCATGCAGGGTTAAGTGAAGGTAATCTTGACAGTTTATTAGTGACCGGGTGCAAATTGATCATTGCCTGTCACAGTTTGGTACATGTATGTTATGGTTGTATTTCATTGTTTCCTCAGAGTACCTGCTTGTCAATACTGTACAATATTCTTGATTTTGACAATGATCGTGAGTACTCCACTGCTCTACAAAGTATTCCTGTTGGACCATTGTTAAACCTCCTTCATATCAGCGATACAGACAGTGCCTTTGATACCCATGCAACAGACTCTCCTCCTCCTTCTCACCATCCCCCTGGTAGACGACGCAAAACAAGTTCTTGTAGCCATGGATCCTATGATGATTGGCAGGTGTCAGTTAAGAGGAATAATTCTGGTGCATCTGATGTCAGGCCAGTCAGGTTATACCATAAAAGGAATAGTATTACTAGTATGACCAGTTCTGGTGAAGGAGATCAACCTCTCAGTAGGTTAGTAAATAAGTCTTATGGCACTCTTAAGAACCGATACAAAATTGACACTATAACATTGAATTCTAATTCACAGTTATGACTGCAATAATTCTAAATAATATGTACTCTTGTAAATCTCTAGCCAAGAAGAAAGAGCTTTCTGTTMACTTATATTTGTTTGTAGTTCGTCGTATGTGCATGGTCATCTGCCATGGACCAGTATTGGACCTGACATGCATATTACTAAGAACTTACCACGATTAGTTGCAACAAAGATGCTTGCCGCTACCACAATGAATCCTAAAATGCAACGAGAGCTTGGTAATGATGTGCCTTTGACGTTGATGATGGAGACATTACAAGATTCTAACAATGAYATAGTGATGCATACAACAGCTGCTTTAGCTAATGTAGCCATGAACATAAACAACCATATGCAGGTAATTGACAGCTGTCAGTAATGACCACAATGATCAATGAAAAGGTTCTAATGGGATGAATAAATATTTTCATTGATATAATATTTGTAAGTGATTTATATGCACACCACCATTCTCTCTCCATATCAGATTATTGCTTATTTGTAAAATGTATTTTTAGCTTGAAAGGTCAGGAGTAATAGATGCTTTCCTTCATCTTGT